CGGTGCCCGCCTCCCTCGCCCAGGGTCGCCGGCCGGGTTACCGTGGGAAGACCGGACGGCCACAGAGGACGCGGCGACAGCGCTGCTGCCGGTGGCGTCGGATGCGAAGCAGAAGCTGGAGGACAAGGATGAAGATGAGGCGAGCGCGCTCCCCAGTCTCCATGGACCTCCCGCCCCGGCCAGTTACTAGGAGCCCCCCGAGGCTCGGGCTCTGTCTTCCCCGCTTTGTTGTTCCGGGTACAGGGCGGCCGCCGCTTCCCCGCGACAATAAATAGACTAGCCGCGGAAGAGCATAGAGACGGAGCGCTGCGGCTAGAGCGTCGCCGAACAGGGCGCTCCTGGGCGCCTCACTAGCCACTCATTTCCGGCTTTCACTGTTCCCCGTCACTTTCCCCCTCCCGGCCCTTTCTTTACCTTCCGACTTCCTGGTCCCGGAGTGAGGCCCCTCAGGCACTGCACGCTGGCCGATCCAGGCTGACGTGAGAGGGTGGCGCCAAAGGGCGTTGAGCTAGCCGGCTTTGCTTGAGAACCACTGGAAAAGGTTCTGAAAAAACGATGTGTCCCTCGTATAGTTTTAATTGATTTCTAAACATGTGCAGTTAATTTTGGGCATAGAGTACACCATAAGTCGACTTTATTATTATTATTTTTGTTGTCAAACGTTAGAGACCTAGAACCATCAGTCCCTTGTACACTATAAGAGTGGATTTTCTTCCAGGTGCTAGGGAAAGTGGAATTTTAAACTGGAGACTAACATGGTCTGACTTACCAAGGAAATGGTTGGAGAAATGCTCTATTCCAATGGCTACTACCACTGCTGAAAAGTCAAATTTTACGACAGTGATAGTGCTTATGGCTTTATGAGGCGCTGTCCTTCAAGGAGACCAGCAAGATACAGGAGTCAAGCCCAGTCAATTACTCTGGACTCCCACTGGTCCTGGATTTGTCAACAATTTGTTTCATTCTGGAAGTTGATGTGGTTCCACTGCAAGCATCATATTCCATTAATAATGGACTTACTGAATGCTTGTACGGTAACACATTACCTGATATGCCATTCCTCTGACCAAGATATTAATTGCAAAGGAGAGAAGGAAGACGATGAGATAAGTCTTGGAGTTCACTGCTTTTGTAATGTGCCCTGTTATTCAAATGCCAGGTAGAAGACAATACATTGTAATGTTAGAACATGTAGTATGTTTTTAACTAAGACTATTGATTAATACAGGAATTGATTGCTGGAATTGGGAAACTGCAATTGTGTAACTCTAACCCTTAGAAGTAGTTTTGGTCATAGGTGATAGAAATGGTGAGGAGTCATTCATTCCAGGCAGGAAAAATAGCTAACTTTATTAGTTCGATCAATGCTACTGAAAATGTGACATCAGTTTGCAAGACATAGTAGTAAGAAATTAAGTGGATTTAGAAATTTATAGGAGTGTTTTTAAACATTTAATAATCGGCATCACAGTAGCATTTAAACATGCATTTTTCTGTTTATGAAAGCTTTTGTTGTGATGGGTTGGTAACCTAAAACTAACAACAATAAAATGGATCTGTCATCACAGGAAATTGAGAGACACTCATAGATTATTTGTTATGTCCAATAAGGCTGTAGCTTTAGTAAACTGAGCTGAACAAGAAAAAGAAGAAAATCTGGCTATCGAGATGATGTCTGTTTCTTGTCTCCTATAGTGTGATGGGGCTTATAGTTCAGCATAACCTTTCTGAAAGAGACAATCAATAGTGGTCAAAATTATACAGCATTGTTAGGAAGAGTACCTTCGCCAGAAGATTAGTTATCCTGAATCAGTATGGATCAGATTATATTTACTCTACTAATTGAAATAACTGAACTTTCTACCTCACAAAAATTTAATACACTAAGTATGAATGTGGAGACCAAGAAAGTGGAGTCAAGAGTGTCTCACTCCTCAGAATTCTCCCCAGATATCTTCTGTTATGTCTCCTTAGCATAAAAATGATTTCTGTCATGCCAGCTAAGCAGTGAACAACTTAAGGAATGGAATCTGATGCTATAACCTGGCTTTATATTCCCAGCCTCTTCCCGCCCCTTACACTCAGGTAGTCTATGACAAAAGCCATCAAACCAAGAGCTAGAGAGATCGACAGAGTTGCTGGGCTAGTTTCCAAGAGATAAAAACAGGAAGGACAGGGTCCACATTCAAAGCTTATGTCTCAGTGAGATTTCTGATAACAAGCAAATGGATTTCCCCAGGTGACATTGACTGGCAGCCAAGTAAAGTTTTAAATTATTGCTGGAAAATACTCAACCTGGAACAAGGTATCTATCGTTGTGCTGCTTCAAAGGCAGTATCCCAGCCTTCAGATGTGGTAGAAAGATGTATTAGGCTGCCAGGACCATTCTGGGAGTTTCCTTCCCTAGAATTTACACCTTTACTGCAAAAGCCTTTGAGATGAAGTAAATCTTGGAACTTTGATTGACAAAGATCTTTCTTGATTCTCTACTGGAGAAGGGTCTTACTTTCTCACCCTTGGGGCACAATACTCATCCACAATTTAAAGGAGGAAAGGTTTATTTTGGCTCACAGTCTGTAGAGGTCTCAGTCCATTGTCAGCATGCTCCAAGGAAGGGCAGCATGGTGGAGAGGCGTAGCAGAGAAGAACCACCTCATGGCATGGCAGGCAGAAAGAAAGAGATTAAGAAAGGAAGGAGGGAGATACACCCTTCCGGCCCACACCCCCAATGACCTACTTCCTCCATCCAGGCTCCACCTTCCAAATCTCATTTGGCTATAGTGTCATCAGTGGTGACTCAGTCACCTTCCTAAACTCCAACCTATGAGTACATGAGTCTCTGGGGGGACACCTAGATATAAACCATAACAAGTACAGTCCTGCCTACTCTGACTACGCTTGTTCAGCAGGCATATGATTGCCATCATTGTATGTTGCTTTTCCTTTTGATTTTCTTGTTAGTTTTGATTCTGCCCCCCCTTATCATGTATTGTGGCATTGGATTCACTATTTTTCATTTAGCCACATCTAGACCTGATAAAGAATTACAGTACTCAAAGATTCTGAATTTGGGCATGAATTCAGTGTCTGGATGTGACTGTGTTTTCTTTTTTCTTTCTTTTCTTTTTTTTTTTTCTGGTACCGGGGATCGAACTCGGGTCCTTGTGCAGGTGGTGGAACCCCTGAGCCAAATCCCTGGCCCCCTGTGTTTTCTTTTTCTACTGTGGAGAGATGGAATATATTTGCAGTGACATATGGGATAATTGATTTATAGTAAGAGAACCAAAAGATAGGGATAAAACGTGTGTGTGTTCGTACATACACTTCACTATCAAAGACTGAAGTGCAGGGAAGATTTTTTTGTTTCATTTGGCTAGAACTCCTCTATTCTATTGGGAAAAGGGCTCTTCTCCCTTATTTTGAGTAGCTACTCCTCTCTGTATATCCTCAATCTACAGGGGTCCAAATGGAACATTAATAGCCTCAGTGATATATAAAGAAGAGGGATTGTGACCTGAGCTGGGCCAGTAGGACCTGTGCTATAGTGGATTTATTGCCTTTCAGTTTCAAATTTATTCCTGTGAGATGGATTCAGACCTTATAAGCAGTCTCTTTTTCTTTTCTATCACAGTGTTAAGTCCTGTCAGTAGAGAATACTGACAAGACACTGAAATAGGAAAGGATTTATTCTTTGGTTTCATTGTGCACCCCAAACAGGCTCCTGCCGCACAGAAGGCCACTCCAGAATCTACTGTCCGAGAAGACAGGTGAATTTCCCAGCTCTGGTGGGCATTGTTGAGGGCTCCAAGTGTGCAAAATTTAGACGATTTGTTTTCCCAGCCTGTCAAAAGTGAGATATAAAGCCAAGTGTAGTGGCACAACCTGTAATCTCAGCTACTGAAGAGGATGAGATGGGAGGATCATGAGTTCAAAACCAGTAGAAAATACAAAAAAAAAAAAAAAAAAAGAAAGAAAGAAAGAAAGAAAGAAAGAAAGCAAGCAAGCAAGCAAGCAAAGCAAAGCAAGAGATAAGCCGAATGGGCTAACAACTTTGCCAATAGTTTGTTTAGAATGTCAAGGACTCGGAAAGCATGAGATTGGAAACTGGGTGACAAAGTTTGAGAAAGAGGTATATGGGGAGGATTCTTTGCATGGGCACACACTGTGAAGATATTTATTTCCTATCTAAATGCATACTAAAAGTATCCACTTCTGAGGAAACTGTTAATACTCGGGGGACAAAATGCAAAACATCCCATGAGGATATCAGTGAATGTCTTTGCTCAGCCACCCCATTGTTTGCTTAATGCATCTATGATCAGAGTGGTCAGAGTGGTAGTGAAGGAAGTCTTGCATGTGCTCAACAAACTGGCTTTACCTTACCAGGGCTACCTTGCCAACACTACTGCTAAACAGTTTATCTATCAATAGCAGAGAAAAAGAACGAGTACCTAATATGGTACCATTCCCAGAGGGTGAAGAGCTAGCCATCTGGTGGCAGGTTGATTACACTGGATCTCTTCCATCACAGAAAAAAAAAAAAGATTCATCCTCAGTGGAATAATCACATATTCTGGAAATGATTTTTCCTGTACTACTCATAATGTTTCTGCTCCCACCATTATCTGTGAACTCACAAAATCAGTGCATTCAGTCAACATTGCCTCTGATCAGGGAACTCATTTCACAGCAAAGGAAGTACATTAGCATTGACTGGGCTGAACAACACAGCACCACTGGGAAGTAGCTCACTTAACTCAGTGATGAAATGGAAGATATTTATAGAAGATGCAATTGTGGTCCCACCTGGGAGACTATATTCTGGAAAAATGGGATTCTGTCTTATCAGAATACAATTCTGATGTGATCAGTCATATGACACAATCTCTCCCATAGTCAAGATACTTGTGAATCAAGATGTGGCAGCGAGAATGGCTCTCCTTACAATATCACCGATAGCCTTCTCTCAGAATTTTTCCTTCCTTACCTGGGAACTTTGCTGGTTTAGATACCTTAGTTCTCATGGGGAGAATGCTTCCATCAAGAGTTGCAACAAGGGCTGGGGGTTTAGCTCAGTGGCACCACGCCTGCCTTGCAAGTACAAGGTCCTAGGTTTG